CAGTTCCTCTTGTATTATGACATTCGTTTCGTCTATGTCACCATATGGGTTAATTATCCACGTTGGTATTACCATAGTCAAAACGTCCTCAAAGCTAGTTTCAAAATTTGAATAGGGGGCATTTAAATGTTGAACGTAGGTTGAAACGTCGTCTTCTTGACAGTTTGTCTGTGACAAATTGGGGAACTGGGAAAATTCGCCCCGTCCAATATTTTGCTTTATTAGTTTAACTCTGGCAAGAAACGCTGATAAGATGGACCTTGTTTTAATCAAATTTAGACAGTCGCCTTGTAACTGCAAATGAACCATATTAAATTTTGTAAACCAATCTGTTAAATAGGCGATGTCTGTTTTCCACTTCATTAAATTGTCTTTTAAAATTTTAACTTTAGTATCCAGAAATTCTAAAATAGTCTGAAAAAGTGCAAAAAATCTTGTCAAACATAAGCCTTTCGCAAGCTAGCGTACTTCAGTGCGAAGGAGTAATTGATGAAAGTGTTCGTAAATTCCGTTGCTTTGGAATGTAACACTCAAATTTTTAGCAACTAAATGTTGTCGATGGATGACGCAATGTATTGCTAACATCCCTGACACATTTTGTTTTAAATAGCTTATAAATCCACGATAACGTCCAACCATGGCAGGTGCTCCATCTGTAGCTACTGATATTATATTCGATAAAGGGCTTTTTCAATGAAGTAATCCTTCAAAACATGAAATATTGATTCACTTTTAGTGTTGTTAAAGTTCTTGCGAAGAGCAGTTCTTTGTAAATTTCTTGATTCATAATAAAACGAACATATGCCAATAATAATACTGCATTACCAGGTAAAGTTGACTCGTCAAGTTGTATAGAGAAATGGGTCGTTTGCAAATAATTACACAACAACCTTTCAATATCAGAACTCATTTCATCAATACGCCTTTCAACAGTATTGTTGCTTAAGGGAATTCTTTTAATAATATCAGATGCAGGTTTGTGTAAAACACTTTTTAAAACCTCTTCAACGGCTGGCAAAATTAACTTCTCTCCGATAGTATGCGGTTTTCCGGATTTTGCTATAAGTAGCGAGATATTGTAAGACGCCCGCAAACCATCATCGTTTCTTTGTAACGTCGAAGCGAACATTCTGTTCAGCGTGGGTCTCTTCTAAAGTTTATTTTTGAGTGTTTGAAAGTAGTTCAAATCTTTATCTGTTTTATCAGGGTGACATCTTCTTAGATGATCCTGCAGCTTAGATGGTTTCATAGCGTCATTGCCCAAAACTTTGTTGCATAAAAGGCACATTGGCAATTGTTTGTCCGACAATGATGGAATGAAGCCAAGCTTCAAATAATCAACACTGTACTGTCTATATTTCTTTTTAGATTCGGACATGACATCAGTCATCTGTGGGCAAAATTAATCTATTTAAATAAGACATAAGTCCAGCAGTTGTATATTAAAAAAATCAAAGTCAAATTTAAATCGTATGGTCTTAGATTTTATGGCAGGCATAGGCGTACAGCCATTATAAATGAATATGAGAAGCGGAATGTTATGAATGTTACTTAAGGTTTTGATATGATGGAACTTTAAGGAAATTTGAAAGGAACATGAAAAAAATGTTAAAATAAAATATTATACAATGAATAATAATAACAAATTATTATGCGATTTATCTCTGCGTACATTCGACTGTCATGTGTAAAAATTCACTGGTTCCACTTTATTAATAATACAAAATTTTAATTTTAATATAGAGAAGTATGTTTGAATATTAAACTACTAATAACTGAAGTCATGATTGGCGTAATTTATCTATCTTTGCTAACTACGAGTATAAAACTAAAATTTATTTTCTCCGGCACTCTCAAACAAAATAACACTATTCACTATAATTTGTGTAATAAACTACCAGTTTATATTTTTTTATATATTTTCTTAGCACTTTTCTTTTCAAGATTCAGGAAACGAATAAACGTATTTGTCTCACATTCGCATTTGTGAGTGAAGCATTTAATTTTCATAACAATAAAAACAAAAAAAAATCTGTGTGGTTACTTTCTTCATGTGTGAATGGTGTGTTCGCGAGGAGTGGTTTGAATCTTTAAAAAAAATTGTTTTTATGTTTTGTTTTGTTCAAGTTTTACAAGTTCAAAATGTATTGCGACCACAAAGCGAATGCCTACATCCTACAACTTACACAATTTTATAAACATATATAATATTTTTTTTACTTCATAGATACTTTAATAAATAATGTATATGTCTTTATATTATACGATAGTATAATGTAAGTAAATAGGTACTATCAGTGTATATTGAGATCCACTATCGTGGACCCCCATTTTCATTTCATGGACCCCCAAATTTTTTTTTCGCTGACGTAGACCCCTTGCAGTTTGTCATAGACCCCTGGGGGTCGATATAGACCACTTTGGGAATCACTGATCTAGACAAACTCTTTGACCATTATCTCAATTGTTATTCACTTAATGTGAAAGAAATTGCCCAAAATCTTAGTAATAATATGTTACTGAAGTAAAAATGATTTGAGTCCTTGCATGCATCTTCAAATATTTAATTTATGTGGAAAGATGAAGCTAATAATTACCAAAAATTGAATAAAATTTTCCGTTTTTCGGAAAGTTTTTTTTTTCATTTCCCAACGGAAATTCTTCGTTTGGTTGCAGTAGTGGGTGGCGGGGGGCTGCTGAGATCGGACGTGATCGTAGCATCCTTTGGGGATTAGCCTCACGCTACTTGATGGATAGGATGGGGACTTGTCTTTAAGGCCCGATTTAAATGCATTCCTTGGCTCCGCGGAGCTCCGCATCCCTCTCACCTCTGTTCGAATTAAGACTTCTTCCTCTTCATTATCTTCGCCTTTCTCAGGATTACCACGGATCAAGCAGAAACCCTTATCGAGATTCGCTCGTCGTCCGCGGAATGATGAAACTGTAATTGTTATTTCCCCTCAACGACGGCAGACGTAAAAAAATCAAGTCACCGTAAATGTATGCAACAAAAAAAGATAATTTCGAACACGTTAAGTTAGGGCGGCAATTTGCGGCTCCGGAACCGCATGCAGCTCTTTTGATGGGCAAAGTGCGGCATCGCAATCAAAAAATATTTGAAATGGAGTTCGATATGAAATTGATTTAAAAAATGTCGTCAACTAAAACATTGAAATGATTTTGTTTTATAATAAAAAAAAATGCTTCAATTTTAAATTGTATACTGTATTCAAATTGGCGTATAGGGCACACGACATTCTTAATGAGACCCTCAAAAAATCGATATTCTTTTGGTGTTTAGGGCTCTATGATTTTTTCTTTTTCAATTATTTGTTCAGATTTCGTGAAATTTTTCCACTCTACTTAAAAAATACTGAGAAAATTAATTATCTCATTTTTTGTTAATATTTTTTTATGTCGTGTAATTTTATTTACAATCTGTTCATCAACCTGACATTGAGTAAATTTAAGATCGCGGTTGACATTAGGTAGGTAATCTTCCCGGTGGATAGTTACCATTATGATGTTTTTAATTATTAATTTGTAGGTTGGCTGTCGTCTTGTAGGTTAACTTTAGTAGTATATTGATGCTATGCGATTCCACTATTTCCTTTCACTGTGAATCTGCTGCTATCCTAAAGTCCATATGCTAAACCTCATTCATTTAACTGTCCAACTGTGATGAACGATGGCCCTATTGCTGCAGGCACCGAGAGGGCTCACAAAGGGCCTGGATTGACCAGGATTTGAACCTGTGACCACTGGCACGTGGGTAGGGCGACTTAACCTTTCAGATATTAGTCGGCCGATTTTTTGTTAATATAGATTTTTTTTGATCAGTTTTGTAGAAAGGTTGAAATGTAACATTATAGAATTACATAACATAATTTGGGACAATACAATAAACAAAATGTATTGTATACTACATATAAAGGACAATATAAAATTATTGAGAACATCGATGAGGGGCTGCATCTATTTGGCTTACATCGCACGATAATACTGTTATTATCGTATTGAACTTGACCGATATGAAAAAATAACTATAAGAAAAACAAATGTTAAATTTCCAAACAATTGTTAAGCAACAAATTTCAAGAATTTCATATGCACGAACATCGCAAACCGCAATGATTTATATTTTGAATGAATCACCGGATCAGCAAAGAATGTATAAATGTAACGATTTGTTTATCAAGAAATGATAAAGTTTACGTATGCAGGATACTGTAACCAGTAAAAACGGTTTGGTAATTTCGATGTGCGTCTACTGAATACGTAGACTTCGACTTCCCGTTGAAGAGAGCGGTTCTTCTCATATTAATTTGTCGCAGAATAATATAATATATCGAAACGAAATATGGAAGTGCTGAAGATAATTTTCGGATGGTCGTTGCTTTTCCTTCTCCTAACTGTTGGTGGTCACTGTAGCGATGAGGAAACAAGTGCAATACAAGATCCGCCGCCTCCATTGATTAGGTACGGAATACCATGGTACGGACTTAGATTCGCCTGCAACGATGGATACAGGTACATCCGAGGAAGATGTAGGCAGATCTTCGTATTGGATTCGCAGAACATCGAGCAACTTTAGAATGATTCAGTTTACCAATTAGTGTCCACGTCAACATTAAATATGTATTTATTGCTTTATTTATATATATATGCTGTTTCTGCCATGTCAGTGATGACATTTGTAATCACTATGTAATAATTGTTTTTTAATGCTTGTTACTCGCTCCACAAATGAACATTGCAATGTAAAATAAAATAGTAATGAAATTTGCAAATAAACAACAATTTAAATAAAAGTTGCTTTAATTAAAACCAGAAGAACATAATGGAAAATATATTTCGAAAATTGTTAAAATTTTATTTTAATTTAAAAAATGTGATTTTTTTTTGTGTGTTTGCAGCGCACCTTTAAATTGCATAATCAGATTAAGGGGAAATATGGAAGTCCGTCCTTTCTTTGAAAAGCACTCGAATTGCTTTTTATCTTATGTGTAAAGTTGAAGTGTTTATGGGAAGATAAAATTGCGCTCGCATTGCTAATTATAAAAACGATCGACTCGCCTTTCTTATTCGATACACGCACATCGAAATGTGTTCGATTCAGTTCTTGGTGGTTTATTTGGCCCTTGTCACCGTCGTTTCAGGACAATCCATAGTTCTCGCCAACAACAAGTTGTCTTTGGAGATTCAACCAAGAACCAATGAAAGCTTGAATCTGGTCTTTGGTGAAGCCAGTAAGTTTATACATAATTGTTGAAGAGTTTTATTTAATAGTCATGTATTTTATAATGTTTTCTGGAACGTAACTCATAAATTTTGAAAAATAATTAAATGAAACATATTAATATGTTAAGATATTAAAATCTAAAAGTTGGTATATATGATTATTATTGAGTAGAAGATGGTGGTACTAATTAAACATACAAAAAATGAATTGGTAAGGTTTTTTGACTGGTATTAACTTGCAGATAAGACTCGTCTTGTTGGAAAGATCGGTTTAGGCCTTGACGTGGAAAACGCGACGGAGTGTTACGGCCTGGAGAATTGTTTGCAGTTTGGAGAGCATGTTCAGCTGCACGTGCTCAGACACCTGGAGGATGGTTTCACGATCCTGTGGCAAACAGAAGACGTATCTATAGAGTTTCGCGATTGTATCGATCTGCAGAGTGCGACAAAGCGATGGTTCGGAGGTCCTCAATGGCACAGACAGGAATGGCCTATTGAGAAAATGCGGATGCACGAATTTCCTTACGTTACCTCTGCGAAGAATGGTTCGGCCATCGCCGAACCCTACTGGTTGGATTCCCATGGAAACTACGTCTTTGTCGATCGAAGGACACCTCTGTTCGTCGATCAAAATGTCATAGACATTGGTCACATCTGCTTCACAGCCAAACAGAGCATTCCTTATTTTGGCAGGAAACGGGTAGGCAAAGTTCGAGATTGCAGCGAAGTCAAAAACTAGTCTTTTCGTCTTGTAGATTTTGCTGCAGTATACGATTTCGGGATTACCAAATACGCGGGAAGCGCATTTGCACGCAGTGAAAAACTTCTTAGGAAAACCGAAAGGTCGTCCCAACAACAAGTTTCTTAGTAAACCTATATACACAACCTGGGCTCGTTTCAAGACGCAAATCAACGATTCGATCGTGCTCGATTTCGTGGATAATATCAAAAGATATCGTCTGCCGATAGGACACTTCGTAATCGACGATTCTTGGGAGGTAAGAATATCTTCGTTCTAGAATATAAATACTATAAAGACTTTATTTTAGGACTGCTACGGCTCGCAGGTGTTCGACACCGAACGATTTCGTTCCATTTCCGATACTTTGTGGACGTTGCGCTACGAAAGGTTCACCTACTCCTTCTGGATCCATCCTTTCATTAACGTAAATTGCGAAGATTTATCTGAAATCGGGAACCGCAATGGTAACACGAAGATCTATTATTTTTAAAAATTATATGTCATGATATGAATCATAATTTTGTTTTCATATGAATTAAATTGTTACAAATTGCTTGATATATTGATTTATTCTGCAGGATTATTCATGAAGAACTTATGGGGAATGACTGGAACGACATGGTGGAACAGTGAGGAGCAGCAGTCGCAGCATTTGGATTTCAGCAAGACCGAGGTTCGGGATTGGTTTGTGAACGCACTGAAGAGGTTGCAATATGAGCACAAGGTTCACAGCTTCAAGTTTGATGCCGGAGAGAGCAGCTGGGCACCCTACAGAGCTGAAATGATGGGCGACGTCGAACTTTCACCCAACCAGATGACCACCAACTATGTCCGTATGGCTGCCGGCTTCGGAGATCTCGTGGAGGTCCATTCCGGATACAAGTGAGATTGCATATTGAAACGGATGTCCGTTGTTCCTACGAACGTAAATCCGATTTGCTCGTCGGTTTTAGCACGCAGGACTTGCCAGTTCTGGTTAGGATGATTGATAAAGATTCCACCTGGGGCGCCGATAATGGACTGCCCACCCTCATCACAACTTTACTCCAGATGAACATTAACGGATACACTTTGTAAGGCGAAACCTCTCTCGCACTGCGATCTCTATTCCTTCCATCTGCTTAGTTATTTATTTCTTGTTATTTTTTTGTCTCCCTCTTTTTTCAGAGTTTTACCGGATATGATCGGCGGTAATGGGTATAATGGGAAGCCGAGCGCCGAGCTCTACGTCAGATGGTTACAGGCCACAATTTTCATGCCCGCAATTCAGTTCGGCTACGTCCCCTGGGACTTCATCGAAGAAGAAACCGACGTAAGTGCATGTCCTTTCTATACACCATTATTAATCATTCAAAAATAACATGCGTCATCTTCGGGACTTTGGCTGCATCTCAATAAAGAGTAGCACTTCATTTAATAATATACAATTAATTTACAGATTGAAATTTTTTAAAACGTCTCAACATTCTAATTAATGATAAACATAATCGTAACGATACTTTATGATACACTTACTATGTTATTGAATGTTTCATCGCTGAAGTTTCATTATATAATAATAATTCAGTTTCTATCATGACGAAAGTTTAGTGACTGTAGGGTATAGTATATTGACGGTCACCAAGACAGAAAATGAGAGTACTTCAAAGAAAATAAATCTAGAGGTTAAGAAAATAAAATAGTGAAATATGTACTATTTAAAATAGATTATATCTTTGGTTATAATTCATAATATTATTCGTTTTGTGATGTTTGTCTTGGTATATAAACTCATGCTCGAAAGATGACGAAAATGTAACGATTGTCAGGTGTACCTTTTATATTTGTATCACAAATTCAATGACTAACAATATTGTGTTGACAGTGGCATCCTTTTGTTACGATTTCAATATTAATATTAGAAAATTGATAAATATGTCCGACAGATCGATGTGGTCAGAATAACCAGAGATTTAATGGAATTGCGCGAGTATTTTTCGAACGAGATTGCTTTGGCCATGATCAACAGCACGGACCGAGGACACCCGGTGAACGGGCCTCTCTGGTGGGTGGATCCGACCAATCCGGAAGCGCACAAGGTTGACAACCGTAAGTACGTCCAAGCTCCAAACCCGCAACCAAAAGTAATTAAAATTATTTTGCAATATATTTGCGCAGAATTCATGTTGGGTGACAACATCATGGTTGCTCCGGTTGTCGCCCAGACCAAGATTTCGAGAGATGTTTACTTTCCGAAGGGTAGCTGGGTGAGCGGCCAACGACCTACGGTAGCTTACAAAGGTCCCTTCGTGATGAAGTACCCCGTGAACATCACCAGCTTGCCGTACTTTGTTCGAAGAGGTTCATCAGCTCACGATGTCGTCAAGCGTATACATCACTTAAACTGATTCAATAAATATGTAGTTAGTAGATATTATAAAAAAAGACACATTTAATTTTTCAGTATCACCTATTTATTGAAAATAAATATTGTTTTTGGTCGAATTCCAATCCGCAATATAATAATAACACTATGTTTTACGTTTGGTTGCATACATTCTAGAAGTTCGCCGAATTGAATTAAATCCAAGACCATTAATTGATGACAAACAATTAGCTTCGTAGACGGGAGTTTCGATAATCCTGCAAAGTTGAGTGCGATAGGATGGAGAGGAAAAGTCGAAACAGATAATAAACACTCTCTGTTAGCGGGATTAGAAAGTTTCCCCCAAATTTTGCAAGAAGCAATTTCCAGTTCACATCTCTTTTTAATTAAAGCACACATTCAGTTACTTGCCATATTCAACGAATATTACTTTATTAGGAAACACACAGATTTAACAAGACTTAGTTAACTATACAGATAAAAAAAGCGTTTATTGTTCGATTTATTTTTCGCCTTCTGATAGAAGAGAAGAAACTTTCATAAAACATTGTAGTTCATCTAGGATCAGAAAATATAATTAGTAATTGAAAATATGCAATTTGAATGTTTCAACTTATTTTCATGCAAACATAATTTAAAACAAAGCGATTATTTAAGAATGTTTACGTTGAAATTACATTTTACAATGATTAAATTAAAAACATACTCACTCGTAAGTCAGTTTGCACTTGTTGTGATCGCTTACGTAATCAGGGACTTGGCACGGTAATGTGACAACGCTGGATATGGAAGCTGTACCTTCCGTTGTTCTCTTCGTAGTCGGGGGTGGATAGATATATACATACATATCGGCACTTCCTAACGAACACATCGTAATAATCGCAAAAACAAATAGTTCCTTCAACATCGAAAATCCGCGTTGATACTTCTGTTGTTGTGATTCTTCTTAGATTGTTTAAAATGCAAAAATCCTAAGCAATTTATATCTACGATGCAATTAGACATAAATAATCGTTGGAAATATCGTGAACATCGACAAAAATAACATACCGGACAGGGAAACCTTGAAATGAGCTCGCAGGATGCTTTCAGCATATTAATCTCTAGGCCACAAAGAAAAATGTAAATTTGACTTATTTTCGACATTGCTTTATTTATCTTCAACAGTTTGAATTTAACATATTTCTTCGAAATTATAATTATAGCCAATTAACTCTTTGTTATTTAATTACGCAGAACAAAAATTTGAATAACACATTTGAACAAGAAAAATATTTATACATTTTACTCATACAAAGTATCATAGAAAATACTTTTAATTTGAATGACTTGATTGCGATTTCATCCGTCGAAAACTTGTTAATTCCTACGGAATTCCGAGTTAGTTTCTTATTATATCGTCCGACCTTTTGCCGCAATTAACTTCTTCGTATCATCGCTTCGTAAAACATCCGACAATAAAATAATTCGATTAAGCGACCAAATACAAAGATAATATCAATTGGAAAATGCACAAATTTTAATAGTTTTAAAATAAGGAACCCATTTGCTCATGAAAAACTTGTTTGTTTTAGTCTGATAGTCAGGGACTGAATTACAATGCCACCGAACCGTGCTCGGTACTGTTTAAGGCCCTCAAATAGTAAAAGTAACTGATCTCTAGGGCCCACGACTTTCTTAATGTGACCGTCCGAGAACCAAACTCCACCCCTCGTCATCAATTTTTGTAACTATTGTTTAGAACTCTATGTTTTTCTTTATTTAAAATCAAGAGGAGCGTCAAATAAAAATTTGCCATGTACTATCAAATTTGCAGCTGGGACAAAGATCCATTGCCTCAGATCCATCGTTTCAAATATTGCAGCAATTATCAAGTGTTTCCTATAAAAAATAATTTTATTTACGACAATTTTTCTTCGTATTCCCATTGGGTCTGAGATTAACTATTTATCTTTTTATTAACAAAATAGTTACGATTTGCATAATTAGTGTTTTTTTGTTGCAATATTAGTTTGTTGAGGTTTCCGATGTTTCATATTCAAAATGAACTCAATGCAATAATTGACATCAACATCATAAATTTCTTTTAAGACACAATAAGGAATAAAAATAAATGTTAGTCTTATTAAAAGAAAATTGGATAAATGAAATATGAGAAAAACTGAAATATAGATTTGCAATTATCGTAATTATCTTCATAAATTTAATTTAATTTCAATCAAGAAAAATCATGAACGAATTTACCACGAATTATGCGAAATAAAACAAAATCGAATTCTAATTATTATTTAATTATAATTATTATTGTTACATATATTCATATAAAATAAGTATTTGATTATTGCAAGCGAATCATGGCAATTCGCGAATGCACTAAGTTACAGATAATAAAACAAAAGAGGAGATGATTTGGATATTTCGGTAAATAAATTAATTAATTGGTTAATTTGTTGGTAACATCCAATGTTTTGCGGTTACTATGGTTATAAGTGGTCAAACATCGGTTTTTTTTTGTTGGTGAATCTGGACTATTCCGAGTGCGAATTGCTGAGGTTAGAGTCTGCAATAAAAGAAAGAGAAAAATATCAATAACATTCATTTGTTTTTTATTTTCAAAACTGAAACTTTTTTCGTTTCAATATTATGTCAAAAAAATAAACAGAAAATGTTTTCAATTCACAGCACAGTTTATTCACATATTAAAATGTTTTTGTTTTAATATTGTTTTCAATTCGCAAACATTTTTTCATTAACTCATAAGTTTTAATGAAATCAGACAAAATCTGTGCGTACGTAGTTCGTAATATACGTAATTCTGTTTTCGATTTGCGGTCGAATTCGTTCCAATTTTCAGCAAAAAATTTGTATACGTTTAATCAAATACATTGTAGTGATTTTTTCAAAACGGATTACAAGATTCATACACTTCAGTTGGAAGTAAAATTTCTTTGGAAATAATGATCATAGGAAATGATTAGTGAATTATGGTTAGGATGAAAATTAAAGTATGTTTATTTCTTCAAACCTGTAATTTCACAACTCTTCGTATTTTCGGAAATCTCCTGGCTAACTGGTATTAGCGATTTCGTGTTTTTTTTTCTCTTCGGAACTTGGTTTTAATTACTTACGGGACATTTTATTGCGGATGAAACAAACGCCTACACCTTCTGCCGATCAGCCTATAATTTGTGGGACACTTCCACATGTAGTGGTAAAAGGAGGCTTCGGTGAAGCCGAAGCACATCACCATGGCAACAATCACCACGACGACGAGGAGCAGAAGCAGATTTGGCTTGGGCATTTTTTTAGCCGAATGTGGTAAAGACGACTCGTTAGTAACGCGATTTATAGGGAGTAGAAACGGAAGGCTGCGGTTTCCGGCGATGATTAAAATCATTCGGAAAATTTCTTTGTTGAAACCGGAAATCACCGATACTTACATGTATTCCAGCTTGCACTGGTTATCCACCCAAATGTAACCCTCTTGGCAGGGCGTTATGATAACCGCATCCGGTTTACCGCCTGCAGACTTTTCGGTGGTCGCAACAGTCGGAGGGACCTTTCTGCCTAAGACGTTAAACTCATGGGCTTCTCCTGTTACCATCAAGAAAACCACTAATGCCGCAGCGATCAGCGCTACTTTCCTATTCATCTTTCGTAAATGTTGATTAAATGTTATTAAGTATCTTCGAAACACTTCAAGAGCAGCGACCGTCTTTGACTCTGATTGCACGGCTATTGCACAACAGCCTCGAATGTTGCTCGCACTTTGGTCACGGGTTCAGCAAACATTGCGAGACGAAGTAACAAAATAAACGGCGGTGAACAAATATTTGCGCGTAGTTGCGTGTGTTTGTTTTCAACGGTAATTGAAAAAAATTTGGGTAAGGAAAACTCACTTCTTCGGTTCAGATCACTCGTACACCATACGACAGATCCCGTCCGCCTTCAGGTATCCTTGCTGGCAGGGCGTTTCGATGATTGTTGATTCTAAGAAGATGCGTTGTAGTTGTAGTTTTCATCTTGTATTATCTCTCGTATCACCATTCAAGCAGTATTTATTTTTATTGGATACATACTTTTGCTGCTGGGCGGCGTCGTCGTGGATGTCGCGTTAATGCTGTTGCTGACCTTTTTCCGACCCAGAATGCCTCTGGGGTGTCGCGCCATGGCTTCCTGGGTGGTCAGCAGGAGGCAACTTACGAAAAGGACGACGAGGAGAACGAGATGACGACTCATCATCTTCGCGTTAAAATAGCAACAAACTACGTGTGTTATTGATAATAATGGATTATCTGCTGAGGTCGCATCGGGTCAAGATCGCAGGGTCATAAGGTTAATCAGAATGCATGCGCAATAAGCACATTATGGAGATTCAAAAACGGCTCGTGCGAAAAATAAACATACTTTAATATCAACCAAAAGACATCAAATAAATTATTTTGAATTATGTGGACATGTTCATAAATTAGAAAAATCAATGTTAAGCAATTTGCTAATATTAATTTATTAAGGGGAGAAAGACCTATGGTCAATAGCTCTTTGTAGCAGATCAATTTGCTTTTTTTTTATTTTCTTGTTATATTATGTTTTTTTTTAGTATATAATATGATTTGTTACAATATATGTTATTATTATTAATTAAACAATATTCCTTGCTGTTTACGGCAACAAATTTCATTTGATAATGTCAAAGAACAATTTACAAATTGGTTTTGCATTAATTCTTTATCTGTTCATATTATGTAAATTTTCATTTGAAAATATTTATTGTTTGTTATTAAAAAAATATTTAAAGTTCAATACAAACATTTACTATTCTATATATATGTTGTAATTTAGTAAAAAAAACTGTAAGCCAATTTATGAATGTTGGTAATGAAAAATGCCAATTGAGTGTTCGATGGACGCTTGGATTTGCTTACTTCTTGTACTCAATGCTATTCGAAGGTCATTAAGCATTTCTGATCAACATAGGCGTATCCTTCCATGCATGGAAGGTTCACAATGCTGAATGGATTGATGGAGGGTGCTTTCGTGGTGGTGGTTGTTTTTGTTGTTGTGGGTTTTCTGCCCAT